CTACCCTTTAAGAGCACTTACTGTGTCAGTACCAGATATGCTTTGTTTTGTAATCCTTAGCACCAGCCCACAAGGTAGCGATTTCTAGCCCTAGTTTACAGATGAGGAAATAGACACAGAGAGGCTAAGTCACTGGTCAAAGGTGGAACCAAGATGCCGATTTCGCGGAGGCGGCCGAGGGCCCAGGCTCTAGCAGCGCCTCACCTCACCGAGCTCTCTCCTTGGTCCTGCGTGATGAGCGTGAGCAGCTCCACAGATTATTTTACCGTAATGGAACACACTCTCACACACCCCCACATAGAGACTTTTACGTATGTGTTTTTCATGATTAACATTATTAAATGTTATATTAATTTGATACATCATTAAAAGTGATTTTTGTTGGTTATTAGCAAAATCAAATTTATAAACTTCATTCAAAGATGGTTTCTCGTATTTCTTTAAAGACAATAAATTCTCTATGATTAATGCATAAAAGCCAGCCACTCAAAATGTATAATAACAAAGCTTTGCAGACTCTCTCAGAGCAGTAGGTTCTCCTGCGTTGGACGCCTACACCGTGTTCGTACCTGTTGTGTTTAAAGGCAGTTTGTACAGGCCTCTGTTTTTCCTACTCTGGGAGCTTCTGCAGGACGAGACTGTCTTCCTTCTGAATTTCAGCCACTGAGCCAGTACCAGATGGGAGATAAGTTTAGGGGCATTTTTGGTGAACCTGTCAGTTTCAGCAACAAAAGGTGAAAAGAAAAAAGGAACATGAGAAAAGACAAACATGGCTTCTGTATGGCAGCAGCTGCAGCAATTCGCCTGTGAACACAGAGACGATGGTGCAGAAAACACCCGAGGAGAAGCAAAAGCACAGTCCTGGAGAATCAAAACCTAGAACTGAGAAAATTAAACTCTGTATTTAATAGTAAAATGGACTAGTTAACATGATAGTTAACAAATAGTTAACATGATAACAATTTGGAGACACTATAATTTCCATGTCGATAATGTGTACTTTTTATTAACTCTCATGCGTATCAAAGCAAGTGCCAGAGAGAAATAACCTACAGGAATTAATTTATTGTCATATAAACCTTTGAATTGAAGCATTCTGCTAATAGCCTGAGATTCTTAGTTAACAATTCCAGTGTTTTTACAGCAGTTATCACCCACCCTCCCACCATGGCATGCAGCACCCCAGAACTATATAGACTTTCAGAAGACTTTAAAGATAGTTGAGCTTGTACCTGGCATTGATTGTCACACTCAGTTAGTTTTCATATCCAGTTTAAGACATCCCAGTATTCAGGTTTTGTGTTTGCATGGCATGGGTCAGTTCATCGTTAGTGGTAAATATCGATAGTAGTAAAAGGTACTGACAAGGAATGTTCTCTCTGGATTTATAGCCCAGCTGTACAACTCACTGTTTCAATTTAAGCAAGTTAGTCTTCTCTAAGCCTCAGTTTTCATTACTGTAAAATAGGGATAAATATCTTCCTCAAGTATTATCATAGGGACTCAGTGAGCACAGAGGCTTGGCACAGAGCCTGGAACATTATTGTCAGTTTTCATCAGATCATTATTATTCATTGTGATTCTTTTTTACATATCTACATAATAACAGCACACACTCTTAACCATTATGCTGTAGTATTCAGTTATTTCTTTCTTTCTACTTCACCTGTCCTCCCCCACCCCCCACTACCTCTGCACACCCCATACTTTTTCAGTTTCCTGTTTAGGGTTACAGGTTCGGAGCCCTCTGTTCAGATCTATTGCCTGTGACTAATAATCTATAGGGAACAGGAAGTATCTTGAGCCAGTGTATGTGAAGGCATTAGAAATAACCACGTGTTTTAGTTGTAAGCCAAAATTTTCATAGAGAGCCCTTCAGTGAAGGGCTGAAGAACTTAAAAAAAAAAAAAAAGACATTACCCCACCATCACTTAGAGATTTAACCAAATACAGCCAACTCTAAATGGTCACTGGTCACGGAGGATTGAGAACTAAAATTGGATGAACGTATGGGACGTCTCGCCTCCTCACTGTTGTGCTGTCTTGCCCTCTGACATCACTTTGTGTCAGAGGTGCCTAGTACCTGCCAAGTGGACAGCGCTTGTCTCCTGATACTGGAAAGTAGGTGTAGGGTCCCTGTCATCCTTGTTTATTACTCGTGCTCAACTGGCTGACAGATTCACACATGAAGGGAGGGATGGCGTCTCCCCAGTGCTGAGGCTCATCAGGTTGGACTTCTCATCGGAGACATTGCAAGTTGTAGCTACCTCACTGAAAAGTAAATGCAAAGCTCTCCATAGAAATGGTCTGAAACAGCAGGTGCTTACGTTGATGTTGTTCTCTTTGTCGGAGAGACTCTATAGGGGAGGTCATTTCTGCCTTGCTTTCTTCTAGTTGACCCTTTCGTGTTAGGGTTTTTCATAAGACTTCACCACTGTCACTGGTGTGAGGGCTCCCAGAGTGCCCTTTTCAGCGGCCAGGAATCTTCAGGCAAGAGAGTGCACTGGAGCACAGGGACAGACCTGACGGACTCAAGACCACGTCTGAATGTCCAGACTTCTCAACCCTTTTCACACTGTGAGGAAGTGCTGAGCGACTGTGCACAGTAGCTTTCCATACACTATTTCCTGGATGTAGTTTAAAGGATTCTTGGTGCTAAGAGTAGGGAGTGGCTTAGTGAGAACTAGAGTTATTCGCCGTATGGGTAGATACCTAGTGCCTGCAGACAGCTTGTACTCCCACCATGTTTTAAGAGGGGGCTGGAGCAGGGTGGTTGCTGAGAGACTCTAGGACACTTCTCTGTCCACAGCTGGCCAGAAGAGTCGCCCGCTGGCTGTAAGGCCGGAGCATGTTAGAGCTGTAGAGAGATTGACACCAGGAGGCAAGCGCCAGGCAACCGCCCAGCATTCCTGTTCCCCCAGGAAGCAAAATACACTCTGCTAAGAGCCATGGCAAAATGAATTTTGGTTTTAGGGGCTTTGGAGTGCCCAGAAATGGGTGTAGTGGGCAAAAATTGGAGAATGGGAAGAATAAATTAGTGAGAAATCTATGAGCCCCAGGTCCTTTGCATCATTCAAAACTAAAAGCCCAGGGGACAACCAGAAAAACCTCTGTGAAGAGATTCAGAATAAGTCTGCAACTCAATGGTTAGTTGTTCCTTATTAACTCCCTGGAGTGGACTACGTGAAGCAGATTCCTCTCGAAAGTGTTTTTAGCTAACCATCTCTTTAAATATTGGTTAAGTCATAATGTTATCGTAATAAGGCCAGTGTTTTTATCAGAACAATTTCACCTATATTAGCAATACTCAGCTAATTGATTTAATGATGATACAGCACAGTTACCCCATGGGCAATAACGCGTATGTCCCGTATCTTCCTCCTGTTCCCATTTGATCCCCTCCAATCTCTTCACCATTGTACCCTGAGTAAGTTTCCTACCATTCAGACCTGATCATGTCACCTCCTATGTGAAGTCCTTTGTTAGCTCCTATGCACTTCAGAAAAGGCACAGCCTCCTAAGGACGGCCCGGAAGTTCGTGACCTGATCCCTCCCTGCCTCGCCAGTCTTACCTGCCAACCACGTGTAACTGCTTCCAATTCCCCAAGCTGCTATGCACCTTCAGGCTTTTTACTGTGCTTGGCCTGCTCCCCACAGTGTGCTCCCCCAACTTGAAGGCTCCACTCGGCATCAACTGTGGGGAACCTTCCCTGCCCACTCGCTCCCACCAGCTGTCCCTCATCTGGGCTCCCTGCTTACCTTGTATACGTGGTGCCTCCAATCTCCCACCTGAAACTGTTTTATCACCGGTTTTCCAGGTTCCTAATACACGGTAGATGCTCAGTAAGTATTTGCTGAACAGATTAATGAATATAGGTTTGAGTGAGTGAGCAAATTTGGTGTATTATGGAAACTACAAGTGAGTATAACTGGCAACTTAAGAGGGAGTGGGCTTAGCTCTTTTCCCAGTGATCACAGATGCCACAGAGCCCTAAAACTTAGTTCTTATTCTTTGTAGAAATTACCACTATATGTGTGTACCCCTCTGAATAAGATTTCAGTTTTGTTGCCTGTTTTTTAAGAAATACAGAACTAAAACATAGTTTTTAGTGAAGAACAGCCTAGAGCTAGATGCACATATATGTACTTATAAATGTATGTGTATAAGTACACATATACATATACATATACTTATATGTATGTGTGTGTGTATGTGCCCATGTGTATATACAGATGTGTACATATATACATATTTATGTGTGTGTACAAATATGTACATGTATACATATATGTATATGCATGTACGTGTGCATGTGTGTGTGTGTGTGTGTGTGTGTCATGAGCAGGTATAGATCAAGCTTAGTGATGCCTCGAAGGAGGTTCTATCTCCATCCAGCCTGCTTTCTGTGACCTGAAGTAATTATAACAGCTCCCCACTGAGTCAACATGCTCTCCCGTGCATGGAGCCTATTTGTAGAAATGTCACAGACACTCGCAGGGTTCTGATCACATTTCATCTGCTACATTGAGAAGCCTAGTCTATCTAATTCATCTTTGCATGCATTCAGCAAACATGTCCCATATGCCTACCAGGTGGGTGTATGAAAACTATTAAGTGTGTAATGAATGGTCACCAGTCACTCAGTGGTTTTGTCTCAGTGACTCTTCCTTATTCTCATCTACCATCTCTCCAGTGTCCATCCCAGCCTCAACAAACACAGGTTTGCTGGCAAGTCCTAGTAGTGAATCATGGGTGATCTGTCACACAAGCCTGTCCCTACATGGGCTTCTTCCAATCAGATGCCTCTTAATTCACTCCCACAAACCACAAAGCCTCTCCGCCTTGAAAGAGCCACTCTCTGGAGGGAGCCCTGGGACCCAGTCACAGGGCCAGGCACGAGGGCTGCTTTCAAAGCCGGCTGCTTGTTGGTTGCTGTCGTCATGTCTGCATTGGGAAGGGCATGTGTTTTCTAATGCAATGTTTTTGTCTTGTCTTTTAGCTCACCTTTTACTATGGTACTATAGATCCTTGGTGTCCAAAAGAGTACTATGAAGACATAAAGAAACATTTTCCAAAAGGAGATATTCGACTCTGCGAGAAGAAAATACCTCATGCTTTTGTATTCCGTTTTCACCAGGAAATGGCTGACATGGTAGCCGGCTGGCTAAAGGATGATCTGTCCAAAATAGAAAAAGTGACGCAAGGAAACAAGGACTGACAGCTGGCAAATAGAGACAATAGCTGGACTGCCTCTTAGTAGTAAGTAGTATACTGAGTAGGCCAATGTTTCATTTTAACATTTAATATTCAAAGAGAAAAAGTAAGAACCTCTTGGCTTAAAGACTACCCGCACCCAGCTCCCCCTGCTCCAGGCTGAATGAAGTAAATATGGCTGATGAAATAGTCCACAGCTTTAACCGCACATTTTCCAAGACTCAGAGAACACAGGGATCTCAACTGGTCTCTTCTGTTTGCACAAGATGCCCAGTGGCACCATCCAGTTTATTTTGGTAGGCAGGATCCCTGCAGACAAAAGGAAGTCTCAATTTAGTTGATTTTAATCGAGTTATGTTATAGAATGGGCTCTTCCAGAGGAAATTATGGAACACCTAGAAAATGTAAACGTGATCAGTGAACATTAAGTGTATAGTCAGGTACATGAAGTGTGTGAGATCATGAGAAGGAGACACTCACATTCCAGCCACAGGAAGTGATGAGCAGTGGCTCTTGGCAGTAGACCTGGGTCTCCCTTAAGGACAGAAGGTGAAGATCAGCCCAGACCAATGTCGCGCAGGTTGTCACTGAGACCATCAGAAGCAGGCTGGATCCCAGGGCAGCCTGCAGACCCACTTGGTGCTACCTTGCAGGATGTCACAGACCACCAAGTCAGCCTTCTACCTGGCCACCCGGCCCAGGCCCAGCACCAGGGGAGCCCCTGCTTGTCGCCATCTCTGAGAATCTTCCCCGAGGACTGTGACTCCCTGATCCACCTTCACTAGGCAGAGAAGGAGGTCCGCCAGCTATTGCTCTGGTCAACCAACCAGGTGAGAGCTGAAGGACCCTGACTCCGCCTCCTGTCACAAGACAGCAGCACACTCTGCTCTGAGCCTTAGCCTGCCGGGTTGTAAGCTCCCTGCAGGCTCGTCTTCTCCAGAGACAGGATGGGGAGGCCCTGGACTGTCCCAAATCAAGCCTGTACCTGCCCCATGCAGTTGCCCCTTCTGTGATTTTTTGCAGTGAAACGCACTTGAGGACCAGCAATGAGCCAAGTACCATGCTGGGCCCTGAGGATAGAGTTTTTAACTATATTATCATTCTTTTTTTTCTGCAAATCTAGTAAGTAATTTTCAAAAGGACATCTTTAAATTCGTGAATAGAGAATTACCATAAATGAGTTCTCTATTTCTGTATTAGCTTTGTTAGCTGGAAAGAAATTGTTTTACCAATGGACCAAAGCAAGTCATTAAATTATGTAAATTCACCTTCTCTGGACCTTGAGGTCCAATGGAGAAGAAGCTTGCCCTCTGGCCTCGCGTGGTTTGCTGCCTTCCCCAGACTGACTCAACCCTGGGACCTTAGGAGCCAATAAAGCCCATTGACTGCAGTAACCGTTGACCATGGATCAGAAACCTTCAGTTTTCTCCTAGAGGAAATCCCTCAGGCATTATCATTCCTTAATGACAATAGGATGTTGGCCTTTCTCTCAAAGCCAATAGCCCCCTGATGAAAGATTCAGCTCTGATATGCTGCCGGCTCCAGAGTGTTGAAGGAGCCACTGTCCTTTGGCAGGGCTTCTGCATCAGAGCAAATGACTCCTGGGAGGGGAAGATCCCAGCTGAAGCAAGGAGTGCCCTTGGCCCCGGAGAGGAGCCAGTACCCACGTAGGCCGTAGGCACGTGTGTCCTGGCATCTGCACGGGAAGGCCTTCTAGAAATCTGATGTTAGAAGCCAGGACTCGTGGCTCTGATGTGCCTTGCATATAAGAAGCTGCTCAGTAACTAACTTGAGCACATAAGCACTATTCTACTGAAATAAAGAATAGCATCCGCAGCTTTGCCTTTAGCATTACTTTACAACATTACTCCATGTTTCAAAAGTCCACGTGTATGAAATTATATCTTATTTTGGTTTTTCAGAGCTTAAAAAGTGATAAAAGGTAAAATGCTGAAGTAAAAGATACTGGCTCTTATTTCCTGTTTGTCATCTAAGCACCAATACATTTTTTAAATAAATGTTTCCCTGGCACTTAAGACCTTGCCTGGCCTGGTCTCTGCCAGGGGAGGCGGGCACAATCTGAGCAGTCCCCTGCGTTAGACGCTGGTCCACGTCTCTATGGGAAGCTGAAAACCCGCTTCCTCAATGCTTCTTTTAGAGAAGGAAGAATCAGATATCAGGAGATTGAAGTTTATTTTATTTCATTAGGAATTAAAAGACTAAATGTTTCCATGCATATGTATGATAAGGTACATGAACTCTGGAGGTAAAAAGCACGCAGATGGTCAAGCTCTGATTTTCAGGCACCTTCATCTAACTTCTCCATGCCTCATTATCCTCACTTATAAGATAGGCTTACTAATAATGCACATGTAATATTGTTGGAAAAATGAAAGATGATGATAAATTTAAAGCATTGAGGAAAATACCCAACTAAGAGTATCTAGTTGGCTATAATAATAATTATTATTAAATATAATAAAAACAAAAGCCTAAGACTAATAAGCAGTGGCTGTAACCCATTTTCCCGATGCATTTCTGAAAGGATGACCCATTCGGCCACAGGGATGGGTCTTGTCAAAGATTTAACTCCGTACAGGGTTATCTACTGCTGAGGGAAAAGCCTGCACTAGAGCCTCCATCAATGCCTGCGGTGGTCCTGCATCTGTTCTGGGCCCCGGAGAGGACCAGAGGCGGTTCTCATGGCCTGACGTCCAAAGCAGGCAGGGCCCTCCCGCCATCTGCTTCTCTACTCAACACTTGGAAAGCCAGTGGCTTCCAAAGGCTTGCCTTCACCCTACATTATATTAAAATTCAATTTAATTCCCGATTAAAGGAGACTAAGGAGACATGAAAACATCATGTAACACCTGATTCTGGGTTAGATGTGCTTGTTATAAGTAACATTTGCTGGGACAATTTGCACAACATGAATGGGGTCTGCATTGGAGTAAGGCAGGGAGTCAGAGTGAGATGTTAATTTTCTGATTTCAGCGGTTAGGTTGTGGAGAAGTAGGAGAGTGGCCTTATTTGTACTGAAGACACAGTGTCTGGGGGCAATGGGGTAGCATGGCAGCTTACTCTCAGATCATTCGCAGGAGAAAAACATCCTTTGTATTTTACTTGCAACTTTTTTGTAAGTTTGAGATGATTTTGAAATTTATAAAAATAATTATTAAAAAGAAAACCATGCTCTCTTCTTCTGCGTCTGTCTCTCATTGCTTCTTTTCTAGAAAGTGAATTTCTTCTAAGCAGCAGATGGAGACTAGGACTCACACCCTGGGTCCATCATTTAGTAGGTTTGTAATGTTACATAGACTTAACCTCCATGACCACCCTCTGCCTCACCCCCACTCCCCACCCCCATCTCCTCATCCATAAAAGTACTTGCTTCAGTTTGAGGACTTTGGATTTGGGAGGAGTTTTTGTTATTAATGGGGTCAAATGAGGTCATGCATATAGCATTTAGCACCCTGTCTGGGCTTATACTATTGGGTTGTCGGAAAAGTCATGATGTATTTTTTCTGTTTTTTGTTGGAAAAATGCATCATGGCTTTTCTGACAACCCAACAGATGCTCTATAAAGTGGTATCTAAAGGAAAAGGATAACAAACTTATTTTTCGTTTACTTGTCCCTTCTCTTTGGTGCAGTGGAGGACGCCATGATATCTCAGTGTTTGCATTGTTTCACCCAGCCTGCAACTTGATTCTTGCAGCCTTAGCATTTCCAGTTCATTCTGGGGGCGAGAGGGAAACTTGCTCACCTGGCTCAGCTTTCTGGCCCCAGACCATGCAGGCCTCCCACACACAGCCCAAGATGATGCCAATATCACCTCTAGGAGCTTACAGCCCTTTTAGAAAAGATGCAGAAAGCCAAGCATTCCTTAAATGACAGCAGACATCATCTTTGTTCCTGGCCTTCTCTCGCAGGAGAGAAGATATACTTGACTTTTCCTTCCTGGGAGCTGGGGGGAGGAGGAGAGTAAGGAGCCGTCAGTTGCAGGAATTAGATGTGGAACTAGTGTGCTCTGTGAACAAGTATGTGTCTGAGGCCTTCAGGCTGANTCAGTTGCAGGAATTAGATGTGGAACTAGTGTGCTCTGTGAACAAGTATGTGTCTGAGGCCTTCAGGCTGACGTTCTCGGGCAGCAGGGCCAGGGACGGGGAAGCCTTCCCTTTCCAAGGGGACAGATTTCTGCCTGTGCCCCATAGAGCTGTAGGTGAGTGATCACACTGGTCCAGGTAGGGAGTGAGTGTGGGACAGTGGTTGGACTGTCCTCTTCCACCAGACCGAACGCATCCAGAGCAAGACCCGTGAGGCCAGAGAAGGCTCTGGGTTGCCGTGGTTCCGTAAAGCGCCAACTCCTGGAGGGAGAGGGGCAGAAGGCTGGTCCTGGTGCCAGGACAGGGAGAACTTGGCTGGGTTTGGAGGAGAGGAGACAAGGCCCGAGAAGGAACCCACTGCTCACGCTGCACGTTTTCAGTCTCATTTAGGCCTCAGTCCTGCGAGGCTTTGATTATACTCACTTCACAGATTAACGGAGGTGCAAAGGTAAGTGACATGCTCAAGATCTCACAGCTACTGAATGACGGCTGGGATTCAAATGCAGAGCCATCCTTCGTCCCCTTCTTTCCACGGCCTCATGCTGCCTCCTGCAGGCGACAGTGGATAACCTGGCAAGCATGGAGGGCTGGGGAAGGGGGTCCCGGGAGGGGCAAGTGAGGGCTAGGGTAGCAGGGAAGTAAAGAGTAGATAGTTGGTAACAACTGAGCCTTTTAAAAGAATAACAGCTATAACAGACCGGTTTGGGGGGGCGGGGGCAGGCTTGCCTGGAGGAAAGCCTGCATGCAAGAGGCTGCAGTCTGTGCTCTGACCACAGCCGCCTGGGCTGGGGGTGGGGGGTGGGGGGCACTAATTTCTATCAGCTCCGAAGGAGCGCTGAGCTCTGAGCCGCTACTAAAATGCTTACATTGTTGCAGGAGTTACAGTTTTACCAGCCTCCTCCTCCCCTCTCGCCATCCGCACACCTCCCTCCCCTTAAAAGGAGAGTCCTAGCAGATTGGACTTGTGTCTTTGTCACCTCTGTAGTCTCAGGGCTTACAGGATAGGGCCTGCCACGTGAAACAGCCAATACCTTGAGTTATCTAAGTTAGTAAAAGTTTCTACCATACCTAACAGGCAAGCTCTCAAGAGACAGTTCTCTCGGTCAGATTGTCAGGGACTCTTGGTCCCTCAGAACCAAATACGTAAATGCAGGTGTGACACGGTCTTGCTCTCTTGTCAGCGTTTCCCCAGCCGAGCTGCACACCGCTGGGTCAGAAACATTCGAGGACGTGAACAGTTCCCTTTCTGGCACTGGGGGACTCCAGGAAAGCAAGGTCGCTACACCTCGTGGCCCATCTTTTCTGTCCCCTCCGGCTGCAAGTGGTACTCCATTCTTCTCTGATTAGAAAACCTCTGGAGTTCGGGCATCAGCCACTCCCAAATATGGTTATTATTCGCTGGGCGCCAATCCCCTGCGGCACCCGAGTGGGGATCACAGCCGCAGGTCACAAGACCGTGTTCGGGGACAGCGCTGCGTGATCATTGTGCATTGCATTCCTCAGGCATTCTGGGGAAGGGGCCTGTGCTGACCTCCCCACACTGGGACAGGCTTCCTTGCTGGGTAGGTCTATGGGAAAATTCCTCTTCCCCGGGAGGGGAATGTGACCCTGTGACTGGGCGTCCATTACAGCAGGAGCACCTGCGCGGCCCCACTCCCTCACAGAGGGGCTAGAATCCAGCCTCTGCAACACCCCCCCCCACCCCACCCCCAGGCTCCACAGAACATCTGGGCCTGCTCCTGCCAGCCCCTGCTGAAGGCCCGGCACCTGCATGCACTCAGACTCCCCCAGCCTCATGGCTGGTGGCTGCACACTGGTGACACGTTGCAGTGGGTGCATTTCTCCCCGATCACTGTGCCTCCTGAGCGGATCATAGGATTCCCAGGGGGAGAGGAGCGCAATGCATCTGTGAGCACGTCAGGCAGCCCCGCCCTCAGCGGGGCTCATCTCTGCCTCATCGTCCTGCTTGGAACTGAGCAGGCGTCGGACATCAGGGCACACCGGGGCCAAGGGGTGTGGAGAGGCCAGCCTTTGCCTCCTTTCAGCAGCAGCATGGCGGGCCTTCTGTCGTGCTCTCGTCAGCGTTTGGGAAATAGGATAAAATTTTAGATGCCATCCCTGCCTTTCCTTTCTCTCTGTAACTACTGCTTCTCTACTGGATGTGTGATCCTCTTAACAGAATGCTGGGGTAGGTCAAGTGGAGACTGAAAAATAGGAACATGAAGAACTGACCAGGGATTGTTATGAACAAAGCATGACAACACTTTAAACTTTTCAGTGGCATAAAGTGTCTACATTGATTGTACCTCCCAAGTTAATTGAAAGGTGAACATAATTGCTCTTCCAAAGAAAGAGACTCTTTATTTAGTAGCAATGAAATTAAGAAGCAAAAAGGGAGCAGACTTGCCTGATCTACCTCTCTCCAGAGAAGACATGTGACCACAGGGACTGGCACTAACGCACTGCAGGACCACAGAGTGCAGTGGATGTGTGCGGGATCACGCTGGCCCGATCCACGTGCCAGAGGAGGTAATCCTGGTAACAAGTCGTTATGAGGGAAGTCCCTGTCATCTGACACAGCCTTTCCTGTCACTAATCCTCCCCCAGAAATACTGAAGGAACACGTGAAATAGCTTTCTCCTTCATCTGTAGGAAAAAGTCAGGTGTGAGAGCCAGACAGCGGTACAAGGCTGTGGGGCGGGTTCTCTCCTGCCGGTCTGCGAGGGATGCTGAAGGAGACAAGGCAGCGTCACTAAGGACGGACCTTTGTACTCGTCTAGAAGAGTACTGAGCAGAGGGCCCTGGTCAACTCCACGGCAGGGCCTTCCCTAAGCTACGTCATCAGCCTTGCAGAGGAGGCTGCCAAGCTTGGGCCCTATGCTTTGGATTCAGAGGCACGTGCAGTGAGCGTGCTTGGTGCCCCTGAAGTGAGGCAGGTCCCACAGCAGCCTGCTGTGTATGAAAACAGAAAACCTCTGAACGTGAACTGTGCTTGCAGTGACCGCACTCACGCATTGCGCATGACCGTGTTCGTTTTCCAAAGAGAAAATGTTTTCCGCTGCATTTTGGCCCCTTGTCGCCTGAACCTGAGCTTGACCCTTCTACCTTCCCGTGCAGTGGCTTCATGCAGTGGGGGGCTGCACACAGGGTCACGCCAGTCACCAAGACCCAGGGAGCAGCAGCAACATGCCTGAGGCCCCCATCTTGGTGGGCAAACTCCACGTTACAGCTGGAGGCGTTTCAAGGGGGGGATGGCCAGACGAACGGGCTCCGAGCTCCCGGGCAGCCCCATCTTAACGCGGTCATTGCTCATGCCTACGTAGTTGCCTGTTCTCAGTGCACAGGGGTAGGAGCAGTAAGGCCAACTGACAAGCCAAATGTCGTTCTCCGAAGACCAGTCAGGAGGAGTTTTATCAATAAAATATTTAATCAACTTATCTGTACAAAATATTAAAATGGTTAATGAAGAGCATACAAGCATGTTTAACAAATATATACTGTTATATAACTGTCAAGAAAAATAGAGATGGCTGTTTTACAGTTCATTTACATTTCAATATGTACAATCTATTTAAACTTGAGAAGACATATACACCGTGGATTCGAACCCTGCTAGCTGGCCTGGGCACAGGCAGCATTCATGACGTCAGCTCGTGCTGCCCAAATGGCCAAGGCTGGGCAGCAGGGAGAAGGCCCATACCCAGCCTCCAGGCCTCAGCGTTCTGCTCTAGCCAAACCAGTTCTGGAAGACTGCCAACAAAGGAGATGTCAGCTTGCGTTCAACGAGGATTTAAAAACCTCACCCCCTTCCCCATCTTATTCCGGAGGCAAGCTGAAAAACGGAGTGTCACTACAAAATGAAAAGGACGCATAACCTCCCCCCTCCAAAAAAAGAATTCATTTTGTCTACAGCTGCTGAGGGAACAGCATGTCATTGAGCTGTGATGGCATTACCATCACTTCGTGTTGTGCGCATTTCCTTAAAATCACAGTTTTGCAGTCAGAGAGTGCGTGTGCTTGTTAATGGCGCCCGTCACGTCCGATGCTGCTGCCCACCCAAGGCCTGCATAAACGGCTGCACACTGGGAGCTGGTG